TGGGGGGCCTCCCAGCAACACCAGTGCCACCAGCATGGCCCTGCCTCCCAGCAACACCAGTGCGACCAACTGGGTGGGCTCCCAGCAACACCAGTGCCACCAGCATGGCCCTGGCTCCCAGCAACACCAGTGCCACCAACTGGGTGGGCTCCCAGCAACACCAGTGCCACCAGCATGGCCCCACCTCCCAGCAACACCAGTGCCACCAGCATGGCCCTGGCTCCCAGCACCACCAGTGCCACCTGTCTGTCCCTCCGTCTGTCTGCTCTGCAGGGTGCTCTGAGCTACTGCTCTGCCTGGGAACACCTGAGTCAGCATCAGGGCTCCCTCCCATTGGCTGAGCCCCCGGGGGGGGCCATGTCCCCCGGGTAGGGGGCCCCCAGCACTCACCTCCCCGGCCCAAGAGCATCACCCTCGCCTGGTCCCGCTCTCGCTGCCCGCTGCCAGGAGAGGCGATGGCCGGAGGACGGGGCGTCCCGCTGGCGCTGCTGGCTGTGCTGACCCTGCAGGGTGCCGGGGCCATCAAAGGTGCATGAAGGCACTGGGGCGGTGAGATGGTGGGTCTGGGGCGCCCTGGACCCATGGGGGAGTGGGTCTTGGAGCAGAAGTGGGTCTGGGGGCCCTGGACCCCTGGGGTGGTGGTCTGGGGATGGGGCAGGGCTCGGGAGCTCCGTTCCTCCAACTGCAGGTTGGGATGGGCCCCAGGTGCTGCCCAGGAGGGCAGTGGAGGAGGGGACACTCGTTCCCTGCCCTCCCCCGGCACACGTCTCCTGCCCTCCGGCCCCTCATGTGGGTCCCTTTGCAGTGGCCGTGCCCCATGGCCTGGCACAAGTGGGTTATTGTGTGGGGCAGGAAGTCCCTGGGCCCTGGGACTGCCACCCCACCCCACTGCATTTCTGGGGACAGGCCCCTGTGGTCCCCACCCCTGTCTCCGTCCCCGGCCTCGGGTGGTGAGGGAGAGAAACCTCCTGATGGCACGGAGGTGCTGGAGTTGGGGACTGGGGGCAGAGTGGGTATCTGAGCACTCCCTTTCCCGGGGAGGAGGTGTCAGCCCTGTGGGACCCCCGAGGGAAGGGAGTGGCTGGGGGTGGGCTGTTCTCCCCATCAGGCCTCCCCGCACCCACGCAGTGTCCCCAGGAGCGCGTGGGGAGATGAGGAGAGCCCTGTGGCGGTGGGACAGGGCACTGACCCTAATGCCCATCCCTTCCCAGTGGGGAACATGATCGTCGAGACTGAGTTCTACCAGCGGCATGAGAGGCTGCAGCAGGAGGGCGGCGAGTTCATGTTTGATTTCGACGGGGACGAGATCTTCCACGTGGACCTGCAGAAGACAGAGACCGTCTGGCGCCTGCCTGAGTTCGGGAACTTCGCCACCTTCGAGGCGCAGGGAGCGCTGCAGACCATGGCTATAGTGAAACAGAACCTGGAGTTCATGATGGAACATACCAACCGCTCGCAGGGAGCCATCGGTAACAACCCGGCCCCGGCACAGCCGGTGCCTTCACCCCCTGGGGAACTCTGCCGGGGCCATTGCTCCCACGGCCTGCGGCCCAGCCGGCAGCGGGGCGCACCGCGCCCTGCGCCCCTGGAGCACGTAGGGACCTGGGCACAGCCCCGAGACGGCGTGCGGGGTCTCCCAGGGTGGGCAGGGAGGCACAATGGGGCCGCTTCTAACCATCCCCCGGCACCCCCGGCGCCGTGGGGCCAGGCTGAGCCCAGTGTTTGGGTCGGCACTGACTCCTCCCTCCTCCCCATTGTCCCCAGTGCCACCAGAGGTGATGGTGTTCCCCAAGCGCCGAGTGGAGCTAGGGGACCCCAACGTCCTGATCTGCTACGTGGACAAGTTCTGGCCGTCCGTGATCTCCATCACGTGGCTGAAGAATGGGCAGAAGGTGACAGACGGCGTCCTGGAGACCGTCTTTTACCTAGGGCCAGAGTTCACCTTCCGCAAGTTCTCCTACCTGCCCTTCATCCCCACCCGCGGGGACTACTACGACTGCCGCGTGGAGCATGAGGGTTTGCCCACCGCCCTGATGAAGCACTGGGGTGAGGAGGGGGGTCCCTGGGTCCCCTCCCCGTGCAGGCAGCCGGGGGGGCTCAGAGCCCCCTCCTCACCCACCCTCCCTCCTCCGCAGAGCCCCAGCTGCCCCTCCCCGTCTCCGAGAGCACCGAGACCCTGGTGTGCGCCCTGGGCCTGGCCGTGGGCATCGTCGGCATCATCGTGGGCACCATCCTCATCATCAAGGCCATGAAGATGAACAGCGCCCGCAACCAGCGGGACCCCTTGTGAGGGGGCAGAGCCCGGGGCTCCCTGCCCCCCCCCCGCCCCGCACCCACAGCCAGCCCTCACCTCCGCCTGGTGGGATCTGCTCACCCCGGTGCCCCATATCGCTGCCCCACCTCATCGTCACCCCCTTCTCCCGTGCGCGGCACGCACAGACGTGCTGGAGACGGCTCCCAAGCCAGACCCGGTGAGGGGCCCGTCCCCAAAGAGGGGCAATTGCTGCAGAGCCCGGGGGGCTGTGCTGGTCCCAGCACCCAGCCCACACCGCGCCACGCTGGGGCTGCCCAGCCCTCAGCTCCCGGCTCCACAGCCATCTCCTGCTGGGGACGTGGTGCCTCCTCCCAGGCCAGCTGTGGGGTCTCTCCTGTGGACCCCTGAAAGGAGGGGAGGGGTGCCCTGCCCCACAGCTCCCCCTCGGCGCACAGCCCCGCACCCTCCGCTCCTGCTCTGCTGCTTTCTCGCCACAATAAAGTGGGTTGGGGTTGAACCTGCCCTGCGGCCCTCACCGTGAGTCTGTTCTCTGCACCATGCTGAGGGGGGTCTATGGGGTTGCTGCAGCTCTGCAAGCCCCCTTGACGTCTGGTTGATCTATGGGGCAGTGTGGGGCAGGGCTCCAGGCATCCAGCTCCAGGCCTGGGGCAGAGGGACGGGGTAGGGTGACCTCAGGACTCCTGGCTTCTCCCAGCCCATGTAGGTGGGATCTTTGCACCTCCAAAGAACTGCCCCATGGAGGAGGCACCCATTTATGGCCCCTAGGGCATATGACTGAGGAGAAGGACCTGGGTGTGCTGATTGACGAGAAGCTCAACATGAGCCAGCAATGTGCAATCGCAGCCCAGAAGGCCAACTGTATCCTGGGCTGCATCAGAAGTGTGGCCAGCAGGGCGAAGTGGGGATTCTGCCCCTCTGCTCCGCTCTCGTGACACCCCACCTGGAGTACTGCATCCAGCTCTGGAGTCCTCAACATAAGAAGGACATGGACCTGCTGGAGCATGTCCAGAGGAGAGCCACGAGGATGACCCGAGGGCTGGAGCACCTCTCCTATGAGGAGAGGCTGAGAGAGTTGGGGCTGTTCAGCCTGGAGAAGAGAAGGCTCCGGGGAGATCTTATTGCCGCCTTCCAGTGCCTAAAGGGGCTACAGGAGAGCTGGGGAAGGACTTTTTACTGGGGCATGTGGTGATAGGACGAGGGGGAATGGCTTTAAACTGGAAGAGGGCAGGTTTAAATTAAAGATTAGGAAGAAGTTTTTCACTTTAAGGGTGGTGAGGCACTGGCACAGGTTGCCTAGAGAGGTTGTTGAGGCCCCATCCCTGGAGGTGTTCAAGGCCAGGCTGGACATGGCCTTGGGCAACCTGGGCTAGTGGGAGGTGTCCCTGTCTATGGCAGGGGTGTTGATGTAAAAGGTTGGTTGTTTTTTTTTTTTCTTTTCTTTTTTTTTTTTTGCTATACTTTTTTTTTTTTTTGCTATACATTTTGCTATACGTGGAACAGGTTGCCCAGAGAGGCTGTTGAGGCCCCATCCCTGGAGGTGTACAAGGCCAGGCTGGACATGGCCTTGGGCAACCTGGGCTAGTGGGAGGTGTCCCTGTCTATGGCAGGGGTGTTGGAACTCGATGTTCTTCAAGGTCCTTTCCAACCTAAACCATTCTATGATTCTATGACTCTTCGGTTAACTGGGTGTGGGCAGAGCCAACGGTAGCCAGGGCCCAGACCCCGGGCAGGGGAGTCCTCACTGGTCCACCAGTGCCCAGGGAGGCCACCGGGGGTGGCTGGGCTCCACAACATCGGTGTTTGCCCCACGGGTGCGAGGGCGTGTGGCTGACCCCCATGCAGGGCTAGGGGCCAAGGAGCGACCCAGAGAGGGAACAGGGAGCTACAGGTGACAAGACTGGTTCACGCATCAGGCCTCTTCCTGCAGGCACTGCTCCCCGTCGTGCACGCACGCACACTGTGTACCCTGGGTGGTGGCAGGGACCCCTGCAGCTGCCCTGAGAGCTGGGGCAGAGGGGAGCAAAGCTGGATCTTGTTCAGAACTGCCAGACCAGTTCTCCCAGCAGCAGCTTTGCCTGGTAACTGGTGACACTGCAGCCCTGCTCAGAAAAGTCTCTGGCAGTGCTTGCCCTGGTTCCTCTTTCCTTCCCCTGTCACCGCTCGGGTGCATGGGGGCTACACACGAGGCTTGCGCACGTGGGGCAGGGCTGGCGGGGGCTCCGTGGGGCTGGTGGCCTTTGGCACTGGAGTTCCAGGTTGTGCCCGTGACGGGGTCCGAGCCCACAGGGCAGGGACGCGCTGAGCCCCACGTGAGCAAGCGCACGGCTAGGGACTGAGATGGGCACACGAACCAGCAAAACTGCCATTGCCATGGAGGCCGCAGAGGAGAAGGAGGCCCTGAGGAAACCCCCGGACAAGGAGCAAATCCCTCCCAGCAATGGCGATGTAGACAAGGCAGCGCGGCAGCTCAGGGCCTGCTTCCCTCCAGGGTGGGGGTCGAAGGGGAAGATGCGGCTGGAACAGAAAGCGGATGACGTGCGGCGGGGAGGATGTGAAACCCGGCTACCTCACGCCTGGGTGGCACGCTGGAGTCGCGTGGGGATAGTAGAGACGTCTCTCTGAGCCCCCAGTGGGAAACTCTGGAAAGGGGGCACAGCCGCGGTTGGGTCCAGTGTGGGGTCTGGTGGGAAGGAGAGCTATCGCTCTGAGGCCAGAATAAAAACTACCTGGAGATAACTGATTCCAGGACAAAAAAAACATAAATAGCAGCAACAGCCCAGCCCCCACCCCTGGCAGGGCAGGGTGGTGACCAGGCAGGAGCCGCTGTCCCTCCAGGGTAGAGCCAGGGCTGGTCCCCACCGTGGATGTGTCTCCTCAAGACTCACGTGCTGAGGGGGCTCAGCCCTGAGCTCAACCGGGAGCACCGGCATGCCTTGGGGACACGGCGGGAGCGGAGGGGGTCGGCTGCTGCTGGGGACACGAGGCTTGTCCTCCCCTCTGGCAGAGGCACAACAGGCGCCCGCAACCTCAGCGGGACACTCGTGGTCCTGCCATGAGCTGCCGGGAGGGAGGGAGGGAGAAAGGGACTTGGTTTGCAAAGCAGCCGTAGTCCCGCACTCGTTGGGTGTCCTGGAGGTGTCTGGGGGCTCCCACCTCGGCCCCACAGCCCAACAGGGAGATGGGTCCAAGAAACGTCTACTGCTTGCCATCCCTGGGCTTGGGGGGCTTTAGCCAGCACGGGGCCCCCCCAGCTCCCAGAGGAACCTGGGTGCCCTGACCCAGCAATTAGCCAAGGGCTCACCCAGAGCAGGCAGGTCCCTGCAGCAGTTGCTGGGACCAGGACCTCAGCTGCCTGGAGTCTGCCGGAGACTGGTGATGTGGCCCAGTGCTGCCTGCTGACTGGTTGGGCCGGGGTTACTGGAGGGCAGGGAGAGCAGGCAGGGCCCCTGCCCCGAAACGCTGGCGTGCCCCATGGGGCGGGGGGGAAACAACAACACAGTGGCTTTGGTGGAAATCCCCTCTCTCTGTGGGTGCAGGAGGTGGGGGTGGAGGGGTCAAGCCAGCAGAGCAGACGGAGTCACCTCACCCTGAGGACGCCAAGCCCCGCGGCGTCAGGGGCCTGAGGCCAGGAAGGGATCGGTGCCACTCCAAGCCGAGCGGCCGCAGCACCGGCTTGGGCGCAGGGGTGTCCCCTTTCACCGAGCAGCGGCCCACGGGGACTCAGTTCCCTCGAGACCTGCGCCAGCTCCAGCCGCCCCCCCTGGTTGTGCCAGAGCTGTCCGAATGAACGGGAGCCTCACCACACCGTCACCGGCCAGATGGCAGCCGGTGCTCCCGTCCCTTATGCCACAGGCACGCAGTCCCCAGGGCTGAGTGGTCCGTGCTTGGGTCACCCCTCCTGCCCCCAGCCCCATGCCAGGGCTCCCCTCCCCCTCCTTTGAGAGCTCAGGGGAAGGGGGAAACGGGTGCGAACGGTGCCGGGGGATTTCCAAGAGAAGGTTGGTCCCTCTTCCCCACCCCCCAGGGCTGCCATGTTATCAGGGGCGAGGGAAGACCCGAGCCCAGAGGGTGGCAGAGCCAAGTGAGGATAGTGCCCTCTCCCTCCCTGCATCTTCCTCCGCAGAGCAGCTTCCCAGCAGGCAGCACTGCCCATGCTCCGGAGTGGGAGAGGGACCAAAACACCTCCAAAAGATTTAAAACACCCCTAAAAGACTCAAACACCCCATTATACTGCCGTCAGGACAGCTGCGGGAAGCAGGCGGGTGACTGGCACGTGAGGGTAGGGTGGGCAAGAGAAAAGACATGTCCCCCGTCCCCCCCCAAGACCTTGAGCTGGGTCTGCGCTCCCACCCCGGAGCAGAGCAGGACAAGCAGAACGCTGAGCTGTCCCCAACCCCACAGACCGTTGCACGGGGGAGCTGCAAACACCAGATTTACCCCACCTTTTGGGGGTCCTGGACCTGCCCCCCCCCTCAAAGCCCACTGACCCCACAGTGCCAGAGGCAGGAACGCAATACTGGCAAGCAGGGGCAGGGTGGCAGCCCTGGTGTGCACCGGGACCAGTTTAGGCCCTTTGGACCCGGCAGCACTTTGCCCTGTCTGCAAGAGGCACGGAGCAGCTCCAGGCACCTTCTCCCTCCCCGGGTCCTGCCCAGGGCAGTACCACCCCCATCCGAGGACGGGCCTGAGTCCGCTCCGAACCGGAGCAATCTTTGGCAAATCGGTGCGTGGTGAGCGCTGGCACGGCAAGAGTCACACAGTCCTGGTGTCTTCATCATCTGTCCCCAGTGGAGCTCCCTTTGTTTCGAGGGAGCCCGGTGGTACACATGGCTCTTAGAAACTCCCGGAAAACTCATTTCCACCCAGACCCACTGAGACCAAGGTGGGCTCCCCATCACGCTCCGGCTCACACACAAGATTTTGCTCCTCCTCACTTACAGTTTCCACGTGTCGCGTCCCTCCTGGGCCAGGACTTCCCAAACTCCGACATGGAGCTCGCCGAGCCGCCCGTGGAG